ACTTTCAATATCCTTCTAAGACCTCTTTGAAAAGTGCATATTACGCCTCAAAAAAACATTCTCATGCCTACATTTCTAAAACATCCCAAAACATCCCAGGGATACCTCTCAGTAGGCAAATAGAGAAATGCCACAGAAGAACAAAAACAATACTTCAATATCCTTCAAAGACCACTTTGGTCAGTGCATATTACGTCTCAAAATAACATCTTCATGCCAACATTTTCAAAACATCCCAGGGATGTTTGTGCTTGCTGGGTTCATTGGAGACAGTTCGTAAGGCATAACATCCCGAGGCCAATTTTTTACACAAAGAATCAACATGATTCTGAAAGTTCAGGTTATTATCTAGGTGAATTACAAGAAATTTTGTTGTAACTGTTTGAAATGATCATATTGTTATCTAGATGAATGTCCAATAAATTACAATTAAAAGATATGACGTTGGTTTTGTCTATATTGAATGAAAGCAGATTCGAGTTGCACCACTCTCTTACACGACAGATATCTTTGGAAATTTCATTGTGGAGATTGTATCTGTCGGTCTCATGCTCCTCGTGATGTGGTTAATCCGGCCCTGCACAACTTCCTGTATTCGCTTAATGAGATTTCCTAGGCGACATTCTAATTCCCTTCCTGTACCCTTACTTTTTACCTCAGTAAGCATCCAACAGGAGTTTCCATCGTGTTCTCCGGAAATTACGTAATGCATCCTCCAATGTTCTAGTATGTTCTAGTATGTAGTTGGGAATGAAAACACCTTTCCAGGCATTTCTTCATAAAAAAATAATGAAAATATCGATCCTCTCCTACTCTATTACCCAGACCACAAAGTGATTCTTAAAACTTTCTTAGAATATTCCCGTGGAACATTTCGAATATTCACAGAATGTTCTGTCTGAATGTAATATTTCAGTTGATTTTCAAATGCCGCTGGCAGATTTGAAAACTACCCCACAAAGATAACCAATCATAAGGAACAGTTGCCCATTTAATACAGATTCCGAAATGGAATAACATATGGGGTTAATCAAAACAGGCTTTTTGTTATTAATATTTTTTAAAAGGGGCTCATTTTTCAGAAAAAATGGATAACTTTTGAACCATCAAAAATCTGATAACCACATATACCGTTAGTTTGACACATGAGTCCCCCTACCACCCCACTTCTTTCGATCCATGACTTATGGGACACCCTGTATATTAAGCATAGAAAATATTTCATGACTGTACGTACAATTAGGGTTACCTAAAACTTGCTTCACGAATACCACGATGTGTCAAAGCATGTAGATTGTAGATTGTAGATGGTTCGTATAGGCTGAGAGACCTCTCGATCACTGCGACCTAGAAGATCTATTGTGATTACCCCTATCTAGTTTTGGTCCTCTAACCCTAGACTTCTGATGAAGCCTACGATTTTCCTGACGGTTGACTTTTCCACTTCAGCAGGGGTGAGATAGACCTGTTCTAGGTGGTTCAGCCTTTGGCGGACTAATACTTCACATGAGCAAAGTATGTGTTCCGCGGTTTCGGTCGCATTGTTACAAAAGCGGCAAGTGTCAGTCTCCGCCAGACCCATCTTTTTGAGGTGGTACCTCAGAGGGCCGTGTCCTGTGAGAAAGCCTGTGATAAGCTTTAGCTCTGGTTTGCTGAGGCTGAGTAGCTCTTTGGCTCGGTTCTGCGAATGGTTGATGAACCTTTTCGCTTGTCGTTGACCTGGAGTTGCTCTCCAGTAGGAGGACTTTTCAATTTCTTCCCATTTCCCGAGTTCTCCCTTTAGGTGACATTTGCTTATCCCACAAAAAGGCTCAGGACCAAAAAGTGCAGATGCTGCACCTTTTTTTGACAGGCGATCAGCTGTGTCAAAGCATATATAATATTTAGTTTCAGCGCCCCTAATGTGTAAGAAGAAAGTAATTGGAAAAAATAGTGGTAAATTTGAATTCATATTAAAGCCCATTGCTACCGCAGATGAGCATGACAAGTTTTATCAAATCCAGTAAAGAAGATTTTGAATGAAAGATCGATTTTTTTTTGAGAAATTTAACTCCCTCTAACTCAAAAACGAAACAAGCTATAGGACATAATTATCGCTTTATAGGAAACAAGAATATTTCCATTTCTCAGAGCATCTGAAAATAATATATTCTCTAATCATAAATATCTAGAATATTCGAGCAATACATTCTATGATCATTCCATGATAGAATATTTTAGGAACGTTCCTAGGATATTTGGATGAAATGTTCTATGGATATTCTCGTCAAACATTCTATGAACATTAGAACATCCTCATCATATTCTATGAATATTCTTGGAATATTCTGAAGGAGGTTTGTTGTGAACGTTGTGAGAACATTCATAGAATAGTCTGTGCTGTCGGGGTAAGGAAGTTAATTCAGTAAGCCCATTATCATGAGCACGTTTTAAAAATATTTTGTTTCACACCTTGTCGAATCTTAGATTCCAAATCCTAAGAATACCCCTGACAAGAAATGTTAAACGGAGTTATACAGTTAGAAGGAAGAACACGAAAGCCATTTTCATTTTTCTCCCTCCATTTTCTGAAAATATCGAGGAAAATATCTTGCATCTGAGATATAAACTTTAAATTTTTGTATGTCTACTTCGTACTATGAGTCCCTAATGTTAATGTATAAAAAAGCATTCGTGATTTGGATAATTTCTTGCATTGTTGGTAACGGCATTAAAACTGAAGATTTGAAAAATCAATATCATTCACCTTCTATAAATTGTGATGTGATGAGTGATGTTCCAATTCAAATAAGATTTTTCAGTTTCTATGCGAGAAGGTAGACAAAAGAAATAGACTATATGAAAGTCAAATTGAACTGAAACTTATTCGCATACATTTACATTTCAAATATGAAATTGTACAACTTCAGCAACATGAAAGTTTCATGTCTGGGATTACCTTAATACATAATGCATCACATACAGAATATTAAAAGCTGCTTGTATTGATTAACTACCAAATACACATAAGTATGTGAAGAATCTGTTCTGGCAGTACTATCTGTTTATACGTCCATGATTGAACTATTTTTAGTAGAAAAAGTGGTTCATTATTGCACTCATCTGTCATTTTCCTACAGCGTATTTTGACATGACAATGACATAAACGTTCAAATCGACGCCGTCATGTAGTCAATTTTCTGTGAGATTGCATTTCCAATTGCATATTATTTCTGTATCATTTTCAGTAGCTATAATCAAACAAACAATGTCTTCTTGAAATAATTCAGTCATAATCATAATCAAGACTGATCCGCTTTATTTTAAGTCGTCAACGCGGCACATAGAGCAAAGCTAACTTGTCAACCCTGTAGCTGACTCGCGATGTCGTTTTGTTTACTTGTAAACAAACTCAATGTTGCAAAACAAATATTTCAGCCTGAAGAAAATGACAATCAAATCGATAGTGCTAATGAAGTATTAAATATTTTAATATTTATTCACTTTTTTTATTTATCTTTACTTAGTGACCTCAGTGTCACTTGAATAATATATGTTTTGGTTTTTGCATGAACGTAGAGAAAAAATATGCAACTCTTCCAAAGTGTTAATTGCACTTGACTTGTTGTCCACAATTTTACGTCGCGTACAATAAGCACTCACTTTTTTCACCTGTTGCATAAATAACTATTTTCATCGTATAGCGTATCGGGTACAGATTTTTTCTATTCACCTATTAAGTAATGATTTTACTCATTTTTATATCAGTTGGTAAAATGTGCAGTAAATGTGAAGTAATAAATATTTGACGTACTCCTGATTTTGAAAAAGAAAAAATAATGGAGATAGTTCCATACGATTCACTGTTGGTTTTCAATTAACATCAGTGCCCAGTAACCCTACACAGAACACAAATGGATTCAAAGCTCTCCTATTGCTGTTTCTAACGGATTCAATGTTCTGTTTTGTTGTTCAACCTCACAAAGCTCTCAATTTCATCCTGGAGCAAGGTGCTAGTTGAGTGGGAAGATCCACATGTCCTTGATCAGCATCTTGCTAATCATTAATTTCAGAACAGAATAAACTTATTCCAATAGCAATGAATTGTGTAGGTGCGTTTGCAAGTTTCCTATATGAATCAATAAATATAATTCTCCTCGCCCACTTTCGCTATTGGGAGTGCAGGAAAGGATGAGGTACAATCCGCATGGTTTTCAATTATTTCCTTCTCCATTTCCCAATTTCGCAATGGATTAAATAATTATGATGCTGAGGGTACGTCGGATGTTGAAGTATCTCGTCAATTTTCTTCCCGCTTCAGATTTCCTCTACCACAAATTAAATTGATCTATGCCGCTACTGATTAGTAATTCCCAGGAGCAACTCGATAACTACTACCTCATAATTTCAAAGGATCACAGAGTAATAGGTAAGGTAGGGTAGGGTAAGGTAAACTTTACGAAACATACTCAATACATTGTGATGGAGTATAAAGTATTGAAAACTTTTCGTATTTCCAGATCCAATAATCCTGATACTAAGTTTGATCTCATATTCTTGAAATTGATGGAAAAGTGGGAATTATGACTTGTAAAAAGGATGTGTTGTCAACGCTGTCAGTGAAGATCTTGCTATATGATTACTGCCGGGGAAACCAAAAACCTCGTTGAATTCAACGCCACATATCTATGCTCGGTATTTCCATCAGCAATACTCTTTCAAAGGAACATCATGAAATTCGCGAAAGCTGCTTCCCTAAAACTCAGATTGTTATAACGAGCGAAAAGATACTTTACATCTAACAGCTTCTCATGATCTACAGTACCTACGTACTAAGTACTAAGTACTCGCAAATTTTGCTTGTCGAACAAAGTGTCTCTTGATCCTGATTAAACAATCTACTATTTCAAATCGGTCTAGTAGTTTGGTAGCCTATTCAATACAAAAAAACAAACGAACAATCAAATCTTTATTATATTAGTATAAATGAACTCATTTCTACTATTTTCCTTTTGTTTCAGCTTCACTCCGAGTACCGGAGCACGTATCGATGGCATGAGTATACGGGGCCAAGACAAGAAGTTGTGAGGAGACCTCCTCAGACTAACATTGCTGAGAAAACCAACGATATTAGTGCTTCTAGGAATCATGAGGATGACTTTCAGACCGACTCACGTAAGGTTTCTCTATAAAATCGGTAGTGCGTAAAAATTAACCCCTCGCAATAATTATTTAGTCAATACTCTAGCGACATATATTTCTTAAAATTGTCACCGAATTTCATGTGTTGCTTCCTCATAGGTGCATTGATTATTTGTAGTAAGAACAAACCGTATGATTTGCCCCATAATGCCCCTAAATGAAAAATTCAATAGATAGTTAGTGACGACTTGTTTGAAAAATGTTCGAAGAAGAAGAATATCTCAAGTATATGTTCTATATTAACTGAACAGGAAGCCATGTTATTGTCTCCGTTCAGAAAAATACAAGCGGATTCTTTGACTTGTTTTTTCCGGTTGTTATCTTATTTTTCTATAATTTAAATGTTATTCCACTCTGCCATATGTTATCCTTCTCCAGTTATGATATGTTCAGCTAATTTACGTTTATGCTTTTTTTATATTTCAATTTATGAGAAATGAATATTCAACCTCCTTGATCAACTTACAGTGTCTAATATTTACCTATTCAAACCATGTATTTTGTTATGTCAAGTTCAAGTTCAATATTTACTGAAAACCTCTTCTTCCAAAGTTCTGATGCAAAAATAAGTTCCACTTGATCGATGATATTATTATTTTTGTACCTGATGGTTGCATGAATGATAAAAGAATCTTAGAGATACGCCGCTGTTGTGGTTATTTGAACACAGGAACATATCATGTTTTCAGATTCATTCAAATTCTCCAGTTATTCGGGACTGACGAGAGTAGGTACTTCATATTGATGGGGAGTCATTAATCTATGTTAAATTCGAAAGTTATCTCATGTTCATGCATTCATACGATTTTTAATTATTGAATAATTGTCAATATTGAAGGGAATTCTGTGTATGAGACAAATGGTTTATATGTAATCATGGGTCAATTTTTGCAGTATTTTACCATGTTTTTATCAACTCGCTTATGTCTGTCCGGGTGGAATTTTGAAATTTGGACCATATCCCAGAAGTGGATGACAATGCATGAAAATGTGAAAAATTAAGCACTGGCCTTACAAAAACATACAGATTTCTAGTTTTTTCTAAATTATCCTGAGAAACACGGGGCACATGCAATACATAATTATAAAGAATATAGAGAGTAGTAAAATAACTTGATTATCGGTTCACATCATTGGCGGTGCAATAAAATTAATTGTTAGCCATTAATGCATCAATTATCTGCTGCATGCGTCTCATATTTTTAGTTTCCAATCTTACAAGTATTTTAATAGCTATCAAAGGTTGCCAAGAACGGATTTTCAGGATAATTCAGAGAAAATTAGAAATTTGTGCATGGTTTTATCCTTCATAAGAATCCGACAAACTATTTTATAACTTTTAGTCCGTTATAAGAACATTGTACATTGAATTTTTTTTTTTCATTATTTTTTGAAATATACGAAGGCGCTGAAGGGCCACCTATACTTTTTTTTTTTAATCCCGACTTTGAAGTCGGACCCCCGACTTTAAAGTCGGGGGTCCGAGATTAAAGTCGGGGGTCCGAGATTAAAGTCGGGGGTCCGACTTTAAAGTCGGGGGTCCGAGATTAAAGTCGGGGGTCCGAGATTAATCTCTTTAAACTTAAAGTCGGACCCCGGACTTTAATCTCGGACCCCCGACTTTAATCTCGGACCCCCGACTTTAAAGTCGGACCCCCGACTTTAATCTCGGACCCCCGACTTTAATCTCGGACCCCCGACTTTAAAGTCGGGGGTCCGACTTTAAAGTCGGGATTCGAAAAAAAAAAGTATAGGTGGCCCTTCAGCGACTTCGTAGAAATACCTACATGATAATGTAGATATTTTCATAATACGTGATGGCCTTGAAGACATATCTTTAGTGAATAAAAAAAGTAGCCTGTTTGTCATGAATGAAAAAAAAGCATACATGTATAATGTATAAACTCGTGGTCTCAGAATCTTTCACCAGATACCAACCCACTTCAATATTATGAAATACCCTATATATTGGTATATATATTGGATATTGTGATGGAGTGGAGATTCAGAGTCTCCTTATGTGTATGCCTGTATGCTGTTTTTTTTTCAGTGCCGAAACAGGAACCTGCAATGCCGAGAAGGAAAAAGTACCCAGACCTGGCTTACAGGCACCATGAATTTCTAGTAAGTGACGGGGTAAATCAATCTAATAGTGCTGATAGGGCTAGGGTAAGTCTTTGGCAAACCTTGTTCATTTTCGTAGGAAATTTGTATTTGAACAAGCATCTGCACGCACGCAAGTAGGTACTTCAGCATTTTGTTAGGAACGCGACTGCTATAAGTAAATGTAGACATTGATGACCTGTTGAGATTCTCACTGGTAGTCACGTAAATTCATTCCACTTGAGACCATAGTCCTCTTCAAAAACCACACAAATCTGGATTGCAATAATTGTGGACATTGGTCGGTAATTGGTATTGGCAAAAAAGTTTCTGACAATCTCCTGGAATATTTTTTAACATTTGTTGTATAATTATTCTTCTTTTGGATCACAGAAAAAATGATTTTTCGTACCAACAAACTGATCAAATCTCTGTTGAACCAACAGAATTCAATTCGAAAAAGCTTATCCCAATCATTGGAAGTAAATATCAATGATCAGTATAAGATATCGTTCCGTTAGATGCAATAATCGTTTCATAAAGTTTATCTTTGAGGCAACATGTGAATTCGCCTTGATTCAATATGGTCATGTTATATTTTGAAGCGGATCCTTCTTTTATTCGAATAATGAAATACTCAGCTCATTTTAGTTTTGTTGATATTATATCTGATTCAACAAAACGTCATTTCAAAGTACAGTTCCTCTTTATATAATGTAATATTTTATCTTGTAATTATGTGTCTCACAAAAAAATGTTAATGTTTGGTCATGGTCAATACTTCTTTCTGAACGATTTATTCATGTATTTGGTTCAATAAGATGATGATGCTGAGTTCATGCAACAGATATTTTATTTGAAACTTTGCTCGCTTTGAAACAAGATATCATTCATTCCTGGTTTATATATCTGAGATCGTGCACTTTTAGGGTCTTCCAACATGACTTCCTCAATAATCAGATAACGTTTTTCATTTTATTCAATTCGCCGAGACTCGTCAATTTATATTTGTAGCATTTTTGACAGTTCATCATCCTACCAACTTCAGAATTCCAAATGGAATTACCCTACTTTCCACATCATTCTGACGCCCTTTTCATTGAGCATTAACTGGTGCATCATTTTTGGAAATCTGTGAAGATTTAACAGAGCATTATAGGCTTGGTAGAAGAGGTCCCATCATGGCTGTGTCCCTTCCCCCGAAATGAACGTCTTAATCCGACTTTTTCTCTTCAATTCGAAAACATAATCGAGCAGTTCGTTTGTATCTTGTACCCTCCACCCGAAAAATATCCTGGGTACGGCCTTGAGTTGTTAATCTATGGTCCTATCAAGTTCTAACCCGTTTGGGACACTAGAGATTTTACGCCAACGAATTGCGGAAGAATACCAATTAATAGCACCAGATGTCTCTAGTGATATTCGAACAGAATTGGGAAATTTGGAATTTTGAGCAATGCATTGATGGAAAACTTGTTTGTTTCACTCAAGCTTTCTCAATTCGAGACTGCTCTCTTAGTCTCTTATTGGTAGATTGATCGATAAACCTAAAAAAGGTATGTGGTTATTATGCAGTACATACAAATAAGTTGTCGTTTTCAATTGAATCTACAAATCTGTCAAACCTCAAAAACTGAGCCCCAATGTATTCTCAATGGAAATTGCTTCAAAATGGTATGTTAAAAGTAGGGTAGTTTCGATTGAAATTCCGAAGTTGGAGTTGCTAAGGATTAGAGATATGAACATATTTTAATAATAATAGTAATATGTCTACATCTATATCACAGTTCAAAACGGCGGAATTCAGTCACACACATTCGAAGAATGCAGGAGGCGGCTCTTCCATTCAACCCTACACAAAAATAAATAAAAAAATATGCTCAATTCGAATGACAAAATGTCAATATTTCTACACGATATAGTATAAATAGTAGGTTGAGGAGATTATTAATAATATCAATGATAAATTAACTAGATGATATGAAATAAGAAAATTAGTGAAATATCTTAATGCAAATACCCAACTAAAAATTGGGTGACGACGGAGCTGAAGAAATCTATTATATTAGACTAGCCGTGAAGTGAGTGATGTATCATATTTATATAATTGGAGTTATATTAAAACTGTACCTTCGAGTATATTTTTTCTCAATGTAGACTTGAATCTGCCTACATTCAAAACATTCAGTGAATCTGGGAGAGCATTGTATATTTTTGCTATGTTATATGAAAAGGATCTTTGGAATATAACAGTCTTATGTTTTGGAGCTGAAATGTGAGGTCGATATCTTGTTTCTCTTGAATTAACATCTTCACGAAATATGATTTTTTCATATAAATGATGTGGGATTTTTTGTGGGATCACCTCATGAAAATAGCAAGAAATAAGAGACATCTTTGACGCATAGTCAGCCAATTAGATTCGGTGATTTTGTGTGAAATAGAATCACGTCTACGGATTCCATAAATATACCTAACACAAGCATTCTGCACATACTGTATTCGGTTTTACATGATGAGTAAATCTCAAATCTGAATCCATAGTTAGTCTCAAGTTTATAGCCGAATCAACAGATTCTATTGACTTCGATTGGATTGAGATGGATAAATTATCTAAGCCGGCTTGACTGTCAAAAATACTCCCCCCCCCCCCAAGAACGGATATTGAAGGGTCTTGGCGAATATTCAAATAATCGGTTCCTAAATTTCACGTGAAAAAAAAAACTACTTGGAATGAGTAGAATTATACTTTTAATTAATTCTCTTGATTGCATTCCATCGGTAGAAGTCGATTCGAAATTATTGGGTGTCACAAGAAATGCCGGTTACAATGTCCATTTATAAGTCGCTAGATTCGAGCGAGTTTTAGCGGGAATTAACTGTGGCCAACACTGAAGTAATTCAGTAGAATAACTAAACAGTTCAATGCCCAGAATATATAAATAACAAGACCAAAAATCAATATCGAGGATATGAGGCTTCGATAACTCGTTTGGTAGAGCACTCGAAGGGTCCGGGCGGGTTCGATCCCTCACCCATTTTCTGTTATTAGTCGCGACTGCTATAATCCAATCCATGTACAGGGTGAGCGAAACTTGATGTCTTAGCTCTATTATAAAAAAGGGAAAAATGATGGGGAAAATCCTAGAGGAGGTTCTTAATTGGTATTTAGTAAATATCAAGATATATGCTGAACCGAAGAAACAATTTTTAGGATTTTTTTTATTTTATTTATTCAGGATTTTAGGTTGCATAAAGTACCAAAATAGCATCCACATTGTACCTACGTAGTGAGGCATGTTATACATCAATTAGTAAAAAAAAATCATAACAACATTAACGAGTCCGTCCTGATGAACAATAAAAAAGATATACATAATATAGGAGCAGAGATATATAGATATTATTATATTAAATTATAGGAAACTATGATTGATGATTTCGAGTGAATTGTTTTTTGAGGATCATTCTGAATCTATGTAGGAATATTGAGAAAATGTCTTATGTTCAGATTATTACAATATCTGTTAAAAAAAGTATGTATTCTATTCTGAGGAGAATGTCCTACATTCGTCCTGCTGTACGAAATTGCAAATTAGTCCTTATTTCGGGAGGATCTATTGGGGATTCTGAAGTTGATTTTAGATGAAAGATATGGCGAGTATATTGGGGAATTCAGTAGATCATCTGATAAGCTCAGGAATGGATAAGTATAAGACATGAATGTGATTCCAGTAACTCAGCTATATCCAATAGTCCAAAACTAAAAACATATGTGAAATTCATCTCAACTTCACAATTTAATAAACGGAATAGACATTTTTTACGGTGTACACATTCAGGCACATGTGGAATAACCTTCTCAAATTGATAAAAAGACAAGAGGGTTACTTGAAGTAATTTAATTCCTGAATAGGGTGATTGAATATAGAGTCCTTTAGATTTTAGTGTAAGAATAAGGGGATCGTTTTATACTCATTAAAAACTTTAATCTGAACAAAGTGTCAAAAAATACAGGGTGTCCTAATTAAACATCTGACGTAGGGTTTGCTTCCGTTTAAACCGGAAGTGATAAAATGAATATTTTATGTCGATAAAAGGCAATTTGGTATACTTGCTACGCACCAAATTCAATCAAATTCGATCCCGAATGATTCAGAAGTAACAGCACCGGACGTAATTTGTGCTGTTCTTTGTCCATTTCTCTGAACTTTCTGGATCTAATCATTGAAGAAGTGCAACAGCCATATGGTTGTATAAACACGCTTTATCGTTACATATATGCATATTCAAATTTTCTTCAAACGTCTAGAAATGTCAATACGTGCCTAGATTCATTTCGGTACATTTCTTTGATATCTTCAGGAGCATTACTAGCATTAGTTGGGAGTATTAGAAGCTTCGGTCTTGAATATTATATTACATTATTATTTTGGAAGTACGCATGATTTTTTCAAAGTAAGTATATCCTTTAACGTGTGTCACTCAGTTTCGAATATTTGCATATATCTATTTCATGTTCTCAACATTCATTAATAATAGTATCATTCAATAACTGATTGCAGAACTTTTCATCGAATTCTTGCTCGAGAGTGACGGACTTTTTTTCATTTGAGTCCAGAGTCTAACAATTTAGAATTGAATTCCAAATCCTTTGATGACCTGACACTCGAGAATCCCAATGCATCTATCCATTCCTGCTTAAAATTTTGATGAGCAGTTTGTATAGGGTTATTTAAGTTATTTCCTGTTCGTTATTTGTGATGTCGAACGCAAGTAACACAGTGACAACTGACAGTTACCGAAGTAATAAGAGTTCATCTTTTCAACCAGGAAAGCACCTATGTTCATCATCAAGTAGGTACTTATTCAGAATTTCAATATCGGACGTTTGAAGAAAAAATTCAATAATTCATTTGGAGTTGAAGTAGATTTTCGTGGTTTTATGATTGTCGGACTCGCCACAAAAGTCACACTTTAACTTCATATGAAACACATTCATTACACATTTCATTCCTTCC